GAGTTATCGGGTCAGGATGCAGTACAAAGCAAGAGGAACGCCTAAACTACTATCATCCCAGTCTGATTCATGTCTTCTGTCAACATTAGCATAATAGCAGCTAGCAGCACATTAAAAGTCATGCCCTCGATTAGTTAGCATAATGTTTTTCTGTAAGTTACTTCCAATTAACATAATGGGTTATGTACTTTCAACTTAAATTTCATGTCAGTTTTGGTCCTCCAATAAATGTCAACACTTCTGCTTGTCTTGGACAAATGTTTTCTTCTTCACTTGATTTAAGGCTTGTCTCATTTGATAGAGAAAGATAAAAATAAATGCATAACATTTGAAATAGAAGCGTATTTGGTGTCATTATTTTCAGGAAACTGGTGAACTTGGCATTATTAGTGGAGAAAGTGGACAATATTTGGAAATGTTAGTTTACTTAAATTGCAATTTTAAGTTCAATTGCTGCCTTAAACTCTTGAGTTAAATTAACTCAAAAAGGGAATTGGTGTGAATAAAGTTAGTTGAACGCAAGTTTTTAAGTTTAGTCACCCTAACTATTTTTACAGTGATAGGTTCCAGATGCTTTGGCCTTAGTTACTGGGTGTGTTTTAGTTCTCTTTTAGTTCGATCAACGCTGCAAGTGACACGGCCACCATGAGCAGAGATGGAAACTGAAAGGTAAGACAAGTTATTAAAAGTTTGGCTCCAGCTGATGGCATCTCTGGTCCACCGCTAAGCTGCTTCCCGAATGTCTCAGATGTGACGGATGTTCTGTAGACGAGTAGCTTTTTGCTCTGCTAGACGATCATTAGCACGTTTGGCAGAAGTGTGTGTGAAGTCTGACCCCTGGCACAGGAAACGAGGTGCAAATGAAATAAATTCGGCCAAATCGGGACAAAATTTTACATTGCTCATCTTACTGATGTTGTCTCCTCCACCATTTGCAGTCGTCCTGATTTTGCTCTGCTCCAGATCAAACCCCTGTTGCAGTGACTCTATATTTAGTTGTTTTTTTTTTGGGGGGGGGGGGCTTGTGGATAGAGTTAAAGGTGGTGCTTTCCCAGCCGGTATTGATTTCATTGAACGAAAATGGACTCTATTTAATTACATATCACAAGAACCTATTCGTCTTGTCTGTCCTGAAAGGTTTCTAATTGCGATTAATTAAAATTCTGGCCCACCTCTTCTCAAAACTTTGTGGAGGGAGGCAACGTGGATTCATGCATCATGCAGATCGTTTTTGCTTTAAATCGCCTCTTCCTGTTCTCATTCCTTCTGCTTTCTAGTTAAATCACCAACTTTCAGTCCGCTGTCTGTTCTCTCAGGTATCCACAGCAGCCTCCTCATGGCTCAGTGATCCCCGCCTCCTCCTCCTCCTCCCCACCACCAACATCATCATCACCATTATTCATCCCTCCACCGCCTCTCCTTTCTCTTCCATCCCAGTCTCCCCAGGTTCCAGGAAGCGGCCAGTCGGATGCTCTGCTGGAATGCCTGGGAGAGAGAGCATCCTCACTTCCCCTTACTGAGAGAGAGAGAGAGAGAGAGAGAGAGAGGTCCAGCGGGGAAGAGGTGGAGGAGACAGGAAGCGGGGTGGCGGTAGGAGAGAGGAGCAGACATGGCTTCTAAAGAGATCTCAGCCTTTGGTTTCGTCAGTGTGACCAAGGATATGACAGGTGGGTCCTCTCCGGTGTTGATGCCCGCGTGCGGCCGGGGCGGCGCGCGTGCGGTCAGCTGTCGGGATGCTTCGGGATGTCGGAGGCTGAGACCGAGCCCGACGCATCGGATGCTCGTCATGAGCTACACCTTCATGTTTTGTCCCGGAGCTTTCCGGGGGCTGGCTGCTTCATTATCGGGGTATAGGAGGAGGAGGAAGAGGAAGAGGAGGGGGGGTAATAATTGATGTGACGGCGAATCGTTCACAGCGTGGAAGAGAGATGCTGCTTTTCTTTAAGTGAGCCCCTTCTTATGAGGATGAGGCAGTAGAAAAAAAATAAAATAAAATAAAAAAACAAGCCTTAGGCCAGAGAGGGGGGAGGAAAGGGGGGGAGAAGGGGCGTTGTGGAAATTACTCGTGGATGTTGTTCCCCTGCACGTTTTTACTGATGCGCCCTTTTCCACTGCAGCCGCACGTCTCTGTAGCAATGACTATTATTTCTAAAATATATATATATATATTCTAATTTTGCCGCTCGTTTATGTTTATTTCGTGCACGCAAAGTGCAGAAAAGAGGGTCCGTACCTCACCAAGAAGAAGAAGGGATTTTAAAAAATGCATACTCTGGACAAACCAAGCGGGGGCACACGGGATGCACAAATATTTATTCCTGTCCTCGTCAGACAGCAACAGCTTACATATGTCAAAGTCGCAGCTCCGCTCGGATTTCAGTGCTACTGCGCACGCACACGCGCACTCTCTCTCTCCCTCACGCGCGAGCGCGGTGCCTGCACACATGCTCGGGGTGGCAGGGACTCTGCTGCTGAGTTAATTACTCGTAATGGCTCTATTAGGCGCTGTGCGATGATTAACCCGGTGGAATCCCCGCTACCTGCAGGGCTGCACCGCCCCCTGCGGCCCCGCCTGCGCCCTCCATCAGGAGAGGCACCTGGTGGCCCGCGGACCCGCACAAGGTCACCGGCAAGCGGCTAAAGTTACAAATGTAGGTGGACTGTTTGAATAGAGAGCAATGCGTGTATTACTGGAGATCTTCTTTAATGGCACCTCAACTGAGTATATCTGAAAAAGCTTTGGGATACATAGTCTAAATGAAGGACCCTGAACAGCTGCAGAATGTAATTGTTATATATATATATATATACACAGTAAAAACTGCTGGTTAAAAATAACCCAATACGTAACCCAGCGCTGGGTCATATATGGACCGACCCAACGCTTGGTTGTTTTAACTCAACTGGGTTGGGTTGAGGGTTTGACCCAGCACATTGGGTCATAGCTGCAACCTAAAGCTTGGGTTAAATTGACCACTGCTCAAAGTTAAAATGACTCAATATTGGGTTGAAATTTATTACCCATTAAAAGGGTCATTTTACCACCATATTTTTATTTTAAATTTTTTTTTCCTTTTCTATTTTAAAATTCACTATAAAAATTTAACTAAAAACATTCAGATTAGCTCAAAAGAACTTTTATTTGCAAATGTTATACATTCCAACATACATGAAATTTTTAATACAGACATGTAAAAGTTACATATAAACAATTGATTAAATCTGCAACCTTTTTTAACTTTGTTGGTGTACACAAATAAATATTTTCATCAAAAGAGTTTGAAGGAAATGTGAAAAAAAATAGCAACAAAGTAACAAAACATCCAGCAGGTTTTCAATCAGAACATTTAAAACTTATTTAAGGGTTATTGAAGAATTGCTTTTATTCTTCCATGGCCTCCAACTGGGCCCTCATTAATTTTATCGGGGTGACTCGTTTCCTGGGATTTCATATATCACAGTTTGGAGAAAATCCCAAATTTGGACACACGACTTCGGATAACTCAGATCAAAAACGAAGAACGATTTGAAACAGCCGTCAACAGCCCCCAAAAGAGATGGATATTCCAAAGCAGTTCCATTTATGACGACAAATGCTTGGGAACAACAATACCTGTCCCCAAGCATGAGAACACGTGGATGCTCTGTTGCCGTACTTCCAAGATATTCCACCATATTTGTCCCAATCTGGTGTGTGGAAAAAGCAGAAAGGAAGCCATTAGTCATTTAAAAGGTAAGGAGGAACTAATAATTTTTGACTAATTCTTATATGATTTTTGTTTGATACATTATCAAAAGACCCTTGCGTTTGAAGTTTATATATACTATATAAAAAGACATATTTTTGGTCAACGCTGTCTTGTGTTATATGACATTAAAATTCTCATTTCACGTCAATTAGGACATGGTAAATTCAAGATTAATGACAGGGAGAACAGTGAGGGAAAAAAAAGCATATTTGTTTTAAACTTCTGGTTTCAACTACATTTAAACAGCAAAGAACTCGTTCTGACATGAAGATAGACTTACTGGCTGGACATCAATGAAGGCTTGCTGGACTTCAAGGTTGCTGGGTCTGACCACCTTTCGCCCAACTCTGTAGGGAACAGCAGGGAGGAGTTTTGGCAGCAGCTGGAGTGCCACGTCACCTTGTTTGTCTGTCAACGAAAAACTCAGATTAAAATGCTACACAATCAAAAAAGAGCCACAGGAGAAAAAATTAGTTCAGAAAATGTTCCTTTTGAGCTTCAATACCTTGTGGAAGCAACTCAATCTCAGGCAGAAGACCGCTCTCCTCCTTCTTCCCCATGCGAATGACCTTTGATGAGAACAAGGTGTTCCAGTTCTCTGTCAGTTTTCCACAAGACTGTGGATATAAAACGGCAAAGTCCTGCAAAATCTAACAATCAGAAAAGACAAAAATACAAATCAAATGTAAAAGTGAAATGAACTATTACATTCAACCTTTCATGGGTGCTACAAATTTATGTTCTGGGTAGTTTGACATTTTGAGTTTGATTGTAATTGTACATTTACACATGATATTGCAGTTTATTGTTTAACATTTAACTGATCTCAATATGAGGTATAACCTCACCATTCCTGGTGTGTCCAACAAACGTGGGAACTCTGCAAAAATCTGCTGCATTGGGATCGTCCCACTTGAGCGGATCCATCCTGCGCGATATACTGCAGTTTCCCGCATGTATTGGACAACCTGGTCTGTGGGCCAAAAGTTATTTTTCAGCCATTCTGTCATCTGGATGGCACGCTCAGCACTGATGGTTGGTTCTGTGGGGAAAAAAGTATTACAGAAATTAAAAGAAAAAAAATGTGAGGTAATTCACAGCAATGATAAGATAAGATTGCTGCTCAAAACAATAGGGGCTTGGAAAAAGTCCATGTGCTAGTACCAGGCAAACTTAATCTTTTTGGTGGAGCTTCTGGGGCTGAAAGCATCTTCTTCCTTGGTTGATGCCTTTTCCTTACATTACGGAGATGCTCCTCCAGAAAGCCAGTTGCTGGCCTGTGTTGTCTTCCGGGGGTAAACCAGGCGTCCTGCACATTTTTAACAAAGAAATATAAAAGTTAAATGTTAGCCTTTCTGTTTTAATGTCCAAATTTTTATTAAACCTACAACTCAAAGATCAAACACCATAGTTACAATGATATTTAATGCTAACCATTGTGCAAGTTGTTGAAGTACTTGTGTGCTAGTGCTCTGAAGTGTGAAAACTTACATATCCTGTGCCATGGCTGTCTCTTAAACATGGAAACTGGTCCACAATCGAAGATGCCAGAATTGCTTTAGTGTCTGAAGATGGGCTGGAAACAAAAAAAATTACATTCAGTAAGACAGGCAAGTAAAATATTTTATTTTAATTAGTTATTGTAAGATGAAAACATAGAGCAGAAACCTTAAAACACAAACAATTTCCAAAAAATCCCGTTTTTATTAGCCCAACACATACTTTAAGACTTCTTACTGGAGAAATTTTACTTAGGTGAGCACTGCACAATGCCGTTAATGTTCTCACCAAGAGCAAAATGTCACAAAAACAACCTAATTGATCTAGTTTTAGAAGAAATACTCACTTTTCTCCATATTGATCCATCAGGTGTGACACAAGTGTTCTGACCACTTGTGTGGTCAGAACACTTCGTCTTTCACGAATGGACATATGCTGATTTCCATCTAGACTGATAACCACAGGTCTACCTTCAGAGAGGCACTGAGGATCTCACGGATGTTCTACAGATAAATAGTTTGTGTTAAGCATATGCCATCGCAGAGTGTGCTGATCTGACAGAACACCGGTGGGGACGACTCCAAACATGTTGGAGCACTTATAAATTAAGAGATATTTCAATAAATCGAGCAGATATTTTATTGTTACATAGTTAAATCTTCACTAGAAATCTGTAAAAGTTACTTTTATTTGACAGAAAGCATAATATCCAACTTTAGCTTCCCCTCCTCTGCCATTGCTGGTGCATACTGTTTTTTTCTTCTCCACTGCCTCAATCGGTTTCACCCAGGTTAACCGTATAATAGCATAGCATAGTCTGTTCAGTAAGAAATAAAAGGCTTAATGAAAATGGGATTTAACAGTTATATTACTGATATATTACTATGAATACCTGTATACTCTGTACTGATCGCTTCGGACACCGCTACTGCAAGCCTCCAGTCCCTCCTTGTCGCTATAGATCCGTTATTAGCATTCTAGCTGCTACCACCTTTTGCGCGCGCTAGTGAACGAGGCCAGCGAAAACCAGGGGGCAAAGCGCCATCTCTCCCTCCCACACCCTCACCCTTTTTTTTTAAAAAAATGGGATAAATTATCTTTGAATTAAATTAATTATTTCAAAAACATTACCCTATCAACGAAGATGATAGGTTAAATCAAATAATTCAATTAAAGTTACATAAATTTAATTTAAAAGATCTGTAGTATATAAAGAATACAATAACCCTATTAACTTTAAAAATATTATACCATGATATTGTAACTTACCATGTTTTATTTGAATTGAGAAGTCCAGTGTTGTCTGATCAGGTCACAGTCCAGTTGAAAATGGAGGTTTGTGAAGAGGGCAATGGATTTTTATATGAACTGTATTTGACCCAACCAATTGGGTAAAGTGTTGAGTCAACCGAACCTGAAACCTAACAGAATCAGTTAAGTGGAGTTCATTAAAACAAAAAAAAAAGTCAACCCAACCGCTGGGTCACTACTTTTGAACCAATATTGGGTCAAAGTAACCCAACATATGACCCAGCATCTCTTACCCAGAAGTTGGGTTATGAAAATAACCCAGCATTTTTTACTGTGTATATATATATATATATATATATATATATATATATATATATATAATATATATATATATATATATATATATATATATATATATATATATATATATATATATATAATATATATAACGGGCCCAGAGGAAGTAACCTGTAACCTTATTTATGCTCAATGTGCTAATTGCAGACAAACAATTAACTATGACAGGATAACTGTTTAATCGTCGTCATCGGCGGCTATGTGTAACAAATTAATTGAATTACTTTAAATTCCTCTAAATAAGTCATTATGTGTTATGCAAATTAGTTATTTATTTTTTATTAGTACCTGTTCGAAGTGGGCAGTTCATTTTTTCCTATTGCACTTGAACACACCCCACACAGTGTAGTCACTGTTCTTGGCAGATGTAAAACATTTTTCTTGGTTAGTTCACATTTCATAAGTGATATGTTTATATAGCCGATGAAAGGGATATGTCTTTATTTTTATTTTTCACCGTGGGACGTTACATGGTCTACACGAGCTGAAATTAGATTTTTTTTTTTTTTAAATACAGCATGCTAATGCTAGCACCAGTGGTGCAGTTAAGTAACTGTGCTCAGCTTGATTTCACGCAGTTGTGGCGGGTTTTTCTTGGTTGCTTCTTTATTTTGGATTTTATTTTTCTTGCGAGGGCAGGTGTTTTGGACCAGACTGTGCAGATTGCTCACTGCTGTTTCTTTTGACACCTCGAACAGACAAAATGAAAGGCAGTCGACCCAGATCTGGCTCCTGTTCTGTTTCATACACCGATAGAAACAAACAACGCAGAATGAAAGTTTGGACCGGTCACACATACTAACTTGCCTGGCAGATTGTAGCACATCATGTAGCAAAAGGGGGAAGGTGTGAGCAGCACATACATGAGGGTGCTTCATAGCTCTAAGGCCCGCCTCCTAGCTCCAATTGGTTGTTTCTGACTGAGTGGTTATCTAATATGTTAAAATCTCTCAATCTCTGTTAAGATCTCTAAATAGTTTTTTAAAGTAAAGGTAAGTGTGCATTTCCGGTCCCTGTCATTCATTCATGCATGCATGCATGCATGCATGCATGCATGCATGGATGGATGGATGGATGGATGGATGGATGGATGGATGGATGGATGGATGGATGGATGGATGGATGGATGGATGGATGGATGGATGGATGGATGGATGGATGGATGGATGGATGGATGGATGGATGGATGGATGGATGGATGGATGGATGGATGGATGGGATGGATGGATGGATGGATGGATGGATGGATGGATGGATGGATGGATGGATGGATGGATGGATGGATGGATGGATGGATGGATGGATGGATGGATGGATGGATGGATGGATGGATGGATGGATGGATGGATGGATGGATGGATGGATGGATGGATGGATGGATGGATGGATGGATGGATGGATGGATGGATGGATGGATGGATGGATGGATGGATGGATGGATGGATGGATGGATGGATGGATGGATGGATGGATGGATGATGGATGGATGGATGGATGGATGGATGGATGGATGGATGGATGGATGGATGGATGGATGGATGGATGGATGGATGGATGGATTGGATGGATGGATGGATGGATGGATGGATGGGATGGATGGATGGATGGATGGATGGATGGATGGATGGATGGATGGATGGATGGATGGATGGATGGATGGATGGATGGATGGATGGATGGATGGATGGATGGATGGATGGATGGATGGATGGATGGATGGATGGATGGATGATGGATGGATGGATGGATGGATGGATGGATGGATGGATGGATGGATGGATGGATGGATGGATGGATGGATGGATGGATGGATGGATGGATGGATGGATGGATGGATGGATGGATGGATGGATGGATGGATGGATGGATGGATGGATGGATGGATGGATGGATGGATGGATGGATGGATGGATGGATGGATGGATGGATGGATGGATGGATGGATGGATGGATGGATGGATGGATGGATGGATGGATGGATGGATGGATGGATGGATGGATGGATGGATGGATGGATGATGGATGGATGGATGGATGGATGGATGGATGGGATGGATGGATGGATGGATGATGGATGGATGGATGGATGGATGGATGGATGGATGGATGGATGGATGGATGGATGGATGGATGGATGGATGGATGGATGGATGGATGGATGGATGGATGGATGGATGGATGGATGGATGGATGGATGGATGGATGGATGGATGGATGGATGGATGGATGGATGGATGGATGGATGGATGGATGGATGGATGGATGGATGGATGGATGGATGGATGGATGGATGGATGGATGGATGGATGGATGGATGGAGACTCCTCTCTGATGCTCGTTCTCTTTCACTTGTCCCACAAGTTTTCGTCTTTAGTCGCCGTAACGATCAATTTCATAACCCAAATCAAGCATTTGTAAAAACTTGATTTGCCCACACGCGCTTCAGATCGCAATTCTGCCGAAAGACGCAGTGGAAGAAGCAAGGAGAATTTCAATTATTGTTTTTTAAATCGTATCTCAAAAAGGCTGCGATGCCATGCACTCTCACAAGATTTTCAGTGACCTTGAAAAAGCAGCTACTATCGGACATGCATGGAAAACTTTTCCCACGCATTTTTTCTTGATTTTACACCAAACCTCTCAGGACTGTTTGTTGCCTCAAAGTTTGATCTTAATCACATCTGACCAGAGCGGATCAGCTACAACCTCCGCTAGGTTTGCAAACGTAGCAGATCTGATGGAAAAAGGCTTTTTTCTGACATGCGTCCCAAACAAACAGTGTAGAGTGTCTCTACTGGTTGTCCTGGAGACTTAGTGACCTTAAGATGCTACTCTTGCAGCAGATTTCTGTCTTTTTTTTTTATTTTGCACCCTGCTCACTTTGTGTGGTTGTAAGATATCTCCTGACCCAACGTAGTGGCCTGTTGCTAAAAGTCATGTCATATTTATCCTCCAGGGAAATTCATTACTAAATTAGTGAATAAATTACTAATTAGAAGCCTATATATAGTTTGATCAACCCAAAGTAATTTCAACAAATGGTTCAGCTACATTTATTTCAATTAGATCGTTTGCAGGAGTAACTACTGTTCCTCTTGTGGTTGGACATTTTTACCCACTGAATAAATCACCCTGAGTTAAAGCTTGCATTTTTTCCGGTAAGACTATGCTACTGCAATAAAAGGCGTACTTATTTTAAGATTTATTATATTATCTTTCCTAGGAACGCCAACAGTTTTACCTGCGTTAGTGTGTATACGTACATAAAGCAGTTGACTACATAGCAGGGAAATGTGGAATGCATTATACTCTGCAGGACATGGGAGAAAGTTCTTGATGCAAAACATCAACAATGCTTTTCTTCCCAAAGGCTCATTATGCACTCGAAAGACTTGGCTGTTTCTCAGACTGTGTGATCTTCAGAGCCAAATCCCAGTGCCTCCAGCTTTGCTATCGATTTCCTCATAAACTAGTCAGTCAGGAGGCTGAGCAGCTACTGTAATTGAGACTCTGAATCATGTAATTCCTCCTAGCGAATGCGTGCTTCTGTGACAGCGTGCGACTGCTGCGTGCACTCACCGCCGCCCGGTGAGTAAAGGCGCCGGGCTCGGAGCGGCAGGTCATGGGCTGTGTACGTGCGATTCAGACCGTGGCGCTGCTGGATGACGGAAACGGTTCCCTGTGAATCAGCGACGCTCTTGAGGTGTCGCGTTGGCCCTCTGATGGAGAAAACAAATTGAAAGTTTTTCTTTTTTAAAAAAGAAACTCAGAATGCTCTCAGGCTTTCGCAATGTCTGCAGCATTATGCTTATTTAGGCAGACATGAATGTTGAAAAT